GGAGCACAGTGCACAGCGGGGCAGCACTGCCACCAGACGGCCACGGAGCACTTCCTAAGGGAGTACGGTACACAGCAGGGCAGCCCTGCCACCAGACGGCCACGGAGCACTTCCTAAGGGAGCACGGTGCACAGCAGGCAGCACTGCCACCAGATGGCCACAGAGCACCTCCTAGGAAGCACGATGCACAGAGGCGCTTCTGTGCCTGCTGAAGGTCTCAGCCAGGCCTGAAGGGAGACCTAAGTATATCTTTGGATGTTTCTAGTATCGACATACTGACTCCCCCTCAGAAAGCTGGCGAAGGTTGTACTCCAGCCAAACAAAGGGTGCGACGTGTAAGAAGACGCGGACCTGGGTAACCGGGCTTTCTTTACCCCGGGAGGCCCTTGGACTGAGACCTGGCGAGCACCTGGTGGAGCTGGAGAGCTGGCCCGGGGCTTGCGGGGTTCCTCAGAAAGGTGAACTGGCGGGGTGTCTCGGAAGATGTGGGTGGTGTGTGCCGTCGCTCCTGACCTGCTGCCTGAGGCCGAGCGCCCCTCTGCCTCTATCCCCACACCCGAACGCTCTTCCTATGTTGGAGGGTTGCAACCCGCAGAAAAGGAGAGGAAGCCGGGTCAGTGTCCCTCACACAGGAGGCCAAGCAGGTTGAGAACCCAGACAATGTCCACTGCAGGGGAAATGGAAGATTGGGGGAGAAGCGGAAAGTCCGGCCAGTTGCTGCCCGGGCCAGGTCTGCATGGGAGCTGCGTGCATGTGCTGGTCAAGTAGGGCCCTGGGGGCCCAGCCGGCAAGCGCTCAGCTGCTCACTGGTCACACCGACCAGCAGCCCTGCCGAAGAAAGACTGGAAACAGCTTCCCACAGAGAAGAGCCAGTGGGCCTTCACCCCGACACGTGGGGGGCTGAAGCGACTGCCCGGCCACCACCCGGCAGCGACAGTGTCGACGGTGTGCCCGGGGCTCACGGGCAGAGTCCCTGCCTTCCACACCGTAGAGCCAGGTTCTGCTCCCGAGCAGGGCACCTCACGTGGGCCAGGGGAGGCTGGCACGGCGCTGCGATGCCGCGCAGAGCTTTCAGACTCAGATGCACGCAGAAGGACGCCCCACCCCGCGTGACATGGATGGCCTGCACAGCCTCCCCCCCACCAGAGAGCTGGAGTGCATCACTTCAAAGCTCCCCAGACACAGACCTGCGGGCCTAGCCCCCGGAGGATCCACACTGACCCTGCACTGCCTCTTCACAAACGCAGATGAGGAAGGGAGAGGCCCCAGCTCATCCTATGAAGCAAGAAAGACCCCAGTTTCAAAACAAGTACAACTGCGGAGCAATCCCTCTCGTGAGCGCAGGCCCAGAAGTCGTCACGGGCACCGAGGGCAGACCGCGACCACGGCGTGTCTTTCCGGATGCGAGGCTGGTTCCGCTCTCAGGTATCCGTGGGCGTGACCCACCACATCGGCCACCCAGGGAAAGAAGCCTCGCGTGAAGTAGACGGCAGCATGTGACACTCCCAGGAGCCATTCGAGATAAAAACCCTCAGCCAACTAAGGGTAGAAGAGAGCGCCCTCATCCTGATAAAAACAAAACCCAGCTACAAAAACTGTACCCCCGACACCCTACCTGGCTTTGCCAGGCTCGCCCGACAAGCAAAACCAGCGAAGCGTCTCAGAAAACTCTCTGCCATCCAGTCCATGTTGACCCACAGTGACCCTGTAGGACCCTCCGTGGGTTTCCAAAACTGTCCTTCACGGGGATGAACAATCCCTGGCTTCCTCCCAAGGACATGGCCCAGAGGGTCGTTTCAAACTGCCTCCCTTGCCGTGAGCAGCCCAGCTTGTACACAAGCATGTGGGCTAACAGGCCGGCAGCCCCAAGTCTGTGAGTCACCTGTCTGCCATACGCAGCTTCAGGGGCTGCCAGAGCCAAGACTGGAGGGTCAGGCGACCAGCTGCTGGCTCACAGGCTCAAAGGCTGGCGAACCCCAGGAACAGCAGACAGGTCTCTGGCTGGAGTCCCAAGATCTGGAGGTCACATGCTGGTGAGCTGGATGCAGGACGCAGAGTGAGGGAAAACAGCTTTGCCCGAGGGTCCACGTGTATGCACTGACTGCAGGCCACACTCCCGAGAAAGCTTGCTCTCAACTGGTAGGAAGATCACAGCTAACTAGTCCACACAGCCGCACAGAGGGCTCAGTTCAACTCACTTTCGTGAACAGTTAATGTGCTGGAAGTCCTTCAACTCATGTGAGCTGCCTGGTCCAAAGTCAAGGAAGCAGACAGCCGAGTTTTCCCTCAGGCAAGGCAGGCAGAGTCTGCCTGCAGGCAGCCGACAGCAGGGAGCGTCAGCAACAGTCAGTAGCTTTGGGAGCTTAGCAAAGCAGGCCCTGCAGGAACCGCACCTCAAGCACAGAAACGGGATCCACCAGCCTGAAGCTCAAGTGA